CATTATACACAGCTCACTGCAGCCGCCAACTCATGGGCTCAAGTGATGCTCCTGGCCTCAGTCTCCCAAGTAGCTGGGACTATAGGCAGGCACCACCACACTCCATTAATTTTTCTATTTTTCTATTTTTTGGGGTCTTGCTTTTGCTCAGGCTGGTCTCAAAATTCTGGCTTCAAGTGATTCTCCTGCCTCAACCTCTCAAAATGCTAAGATTACAGGCATGAGCCACTGTGCCTGGCTATAAAATTAAAGAATTTTAAACTTGTATCTTTTTAAAAAAACTAACTTTACAGAAAAGTTTTCAGAATAGTATAATGAACTCCCATATCACCTTCACCTGAATTCAGTCTTACTCATTTTGGCATCTGTAGCTTGAGCACACAGAGGCACTGAAATGTTATTGAATCACTGAATGAATGTCCTAAGGAAAAATAAGCAAAACATAGCGTGCCAACTTCCTATAAGTTAAAGTGACAGGGAGGAATAAATGCTGAAAAAATTCAAGAGAAAAGAAACGAATTAGATGGGAGGATGGGAGCAAGGAAGAAAAGAAAACAGAACAGACATAAATACTATACGGTACACACATTTATTTTGCCTGCTGAATGCTTGCTTTGTTTTATTTTATTTTATTGTTGTTTTTTGCTTGGTTTATCTTAAGTAGTAAGAGAAACAGACAAATCACCAGGAGCCCAGGTAAATACCACACAAAGACAGAAGCGACCAGACATGCTGACAGTGTTCTTTCAGCAAAACCTTACTAATTCAACCGTCACCCGTTTTTGCAGTTTGGGATTATTTGGACAAGCTAGGCTAAATTTCATCTTGGCATTATTAATTCTTCGAGAAAGTTTGCTAAGCAAATGAACAGTATAAACAGGGGAAATGTTGAATATTTGCTTGTGGGGGCAGGGGGAGTAAAAGGCAAATGAACAGCCTTCCAATCCTTTCTAATTATATTAATGTGCTGAACTTTTGTCTAATTATTATGTTCCGTGAAAACGAAGTAGAATTTTTGTTTTTTTCCCAAACCATCTCATATTTTAAAAGCACCGGGGAAAATCTGACTTTAACACAAAGGTGAACGAACATTTTCACAGGCTGAAAACTCACACACTGCCAATTTGCCTTGATGTAAATAAAAAATGTCAAACATTGGGTTTTCTTTTAAACAAAGAGTGAGCTAATTGCAAAGATTATTATTTGCTAGAGAGTTTCATCAGCAGAGCTTCCCTCTTCTGTCAGTAGTGTGGAAGAAGTCTGCCCCTTTGCAGATAATGATGGCATCAGCTACCATGTAGGAACACTTTTCTATATTCCAGACTTGGTGTTAAGTGCTTTTAGGCATTGTTTCATTGAATCCACAAGACAAGGTAGACCTCATCATCATCGTCTCCATTTTACTAACCGAAAAACTGAGATTCAGAGAGGTCAAAGTACACGGCTGAGATCCAAATCCAAGGCTATATGGCCCCCCAAAACCTAAGAGCATTACATACGTTGCATCACAGAGACAGATAGACAATGCTATATGGCCCCAAAACCTAAGAGCATTACACACATTGCATGCCCACAGTCAAAACCAGGGAAAGTGTTGTGAGAAGCTAGGATCATTTGGACATGCAGAATAAACCAAACTACAGTCTAGTTTGGGGATATTTGCTAGACATTTGAGCTTTTGTAAGTTTAGGAAGTAAACATCTTTCTAATAAGGCCAGGCTTAGCCTATCTATTTGGCTAGAATCACAATTCTTTAAGGTATGCTTCACTTTACCTGATAGCTTTCTTTGTGCCCATGAAATCATGTGTAAATCAAAGTTTTAAAAATTAGGACAGAAAATGGGATTCTTTGAAGGTTAAAACTAATCTTAGGGTAAAGACTTTCTTAGAATAAATCACTCCCTTTTGTAATCAGTCTAAAAATGAACAGATTCCTCCATTGGGCCCTAATAATGTTCTAGGAGTAGAACAATTAGAAGTGACAAAGCAGGCTTCTTGAAAATGGTCTATAGCAGTGTTTCTCAAAGTGTGTTCCACAGATCCTGGGAGGAGGAGGGGTCCACAAAAACAAAACTATTTTCATCATAATTCTAAGACTTTTTCACTGTGTTGACATTTGTACTGATGACACAAAGCAATGATGGGTAAAACTGCTTGTAGCTTGAATCAAGGCAGTGGTGCCAAAGTGTACTAGTAGCTATTCTTTACTGCCCTGTACTCACAGTAAAACAAACAAACAAATTATTTTCATTTAAGTATGTCCTGATGGAAGAGTAAAAATTAATTTTATTAAATCTCAACTCATGAGGACACATCTCTTTAATATTCTGTGGGGAAAAATGGGAAGTACACATAAAACACTTTTGTTGCAAGCCAAGAACAAAGGTTGATCTCAGAAAACACTTCTGCAATTATTTGAGTTGCCAGGTGAACTAACTGCATTTTGTACAAAATGCCATTTTGACTTGCATGAACAAGTAACAGAGAAATTATGGTTATTCAGACTTGGATACCTGGCAGACATTTCCTCACATACAAATGAAGTGAGCCTGCCACTTCAAGTAAACAACTGCCAGAATTTGTTGCCAAAGATGAAATTCAAGCTTTCAAATGAAAACAAGTGGAAAACTTGTTTCTATTACCTTGACTTTAATAGCTTCCCAATACTTAAACTCTTTTTTTAAAAACGAGATACGTGGTAATATTAACAAATGTGATTTTTGATATTGTGTAATGACATTTTAAAAGTTAACATTTAGAAGATTTGCATATCACAGTGAACCAACATTTTCAAAACAACCAATGGCTGATATTATATAACCATATATGGGTAAAGTAACCAATCAAAGGACAAGGTAGACCAATAGATTTTAATATAACACGGTACAAAAGTTCACCAGGCCGGATGCGGTGGCTCACGCCTGTAATCCTAGCACTCTGGGAGGCTGAGGCGGGTGGATTGTTTGAGCTCAGGAGTTCGAGACCAGCCTGAGCAAGAGCAAGACCCCTGTCTCTACTAAAAAAAATAGAAAGAAATTAGCTGGACAACTAAAAATATAGAAAAAATTAGCTGGGCACGGTGGCACATGCCTGTAGTCCCAGCTACTTGGGAGGCTGAGGCAGTAGGATTGCTTGAGCCCAGGAGTTTGAGGTCGCTGTGAGCTAGGCTGACGCCCTGGCACTCTAGCCAGGGCAATAGAGTGAGACTCTGTCTCAAAAAAAAAAAAAAAAAAAGTTCACCAATATGGTTTCGGATGCCACATTGTGGCTAACCTTTAAGAAAGTGCCACTTGCTAAGTTCTACTGTAGTATCAAAGAAGAGTGTCTACAGTTATCTCAAAAGGTAATTAAAATATTCTTCTCTGTTCGAATTATTTATGTGAGGCCAGATTTTCTTTGAATACATCAGTCAAAATAGCATAACAAAACGGTGTGAATGCTAAAGCAGAAATGAGGGGCTAGCTGTTTTCTGTTACTTCTATTAACCCACACATGGCAGAGATTTGAGAAAATGTAAAACAATGCTATATTTCCTATTAATTTTTTGGGGGGGAAATACAGCTGTTTTTCATTAAAAATAGCATTTATATTTAGAAGTAATGGGTTTATTGTTGCTATTTTAAAGGAATTAATACGTGAATGTTTTAAGATTTTCTCAGTTTTAATTCCTGATATGGTAAATATCATAGATATAATATGCATAAGCAAAGCTCTTTGAGGTAAGAGCATGAAGGTGTTCTGAGGCTAAAAGGTTTGAGAATGGTTGTTCTACAGCAACATTACATTGACCTTTCCATAGGGCAAACTGGTAAATGACATTTTATAGGACCTCTAAAGTACAAAGGGAAAAGATAGCTTTTAAGCACATGACAGAATGTTCAATTAAAAACATTTTTTCCACACTGCATTCAGTGGATATCAAAGAAATGCAAATTCCCCAGGAACAAATTCCCCAGAAGTGAAAGGATGGTGGTGTAATAAGCAAAATGATCTGGATTCTAGTACAGACCCCACCAGTCTCTCTAGATGTTAGTCTTTTCACCTGCAAAGTGAGATACTAGAGTAGCCTATTTTCTGATTGCTTCCAATTGTCAATACGATGATTCTAATCAGGGATCCCTAAATGGTGGCCCACAGGCTGCCTCTGGCCTTCAGCCTGGTTGGCCGTCACAGTATTTTGAAAAGTGCCTCATGAAGACAATTGACTAGAGCTCAGTGAGCAGCTTCTCTTTTAGATGGAGAATTGATTTTCAGTGACGGCCCCAATCCAGCCCACTAGACTTTCCTCTGCAGATATTTGCATTTGCAACCTCTGCAATGAAGGATCCTTGAACACCTTTCCAAATCTCAAATTCCATAATTCAGCTCCAGAGGCAGTGTGTCTGGTTTCCTCACTCACTCTGCCACTTGCTGGCTGTTTGACTTTGGGCAAGTTACTTAACTTCTCTGGGCCTCAGTTTTCTCATCTGTAAAATGGGATAACGCTGACCTCAGAAGGCTCTTATGAAGCTTAGCAAGGTGTTGCCTGACAGCACTCACAGAGTTCCTGGCACCGGACAGTACTCTGTTAACGTGGGCTATTATTAATGGCAAAGCACAGAAAGGGAGTATTTTCAGTCTCCCTCCACTCGCCATACTATTAATAACTCCCTTCCTAGTAGCTGTTGACTGTACTCCCCACGATCAAGCTTACGTCCACACCAGTTCCACATCCCAGGACACACAAGATCCTCCTCAGACCTCTACTTCTTCCCCACCCTAAGTCCCTTCACTGAGCCCCCAGCCAGTACTCCACCACCACATCTTGGCAGAAATGACCACTCCCCCAGCCTCTCCTCCGCATTCCGGACCACTAAGCCTCCCTTTTCCTCAGAGCGAAAAACATCTTGGGACCGGAAGTGGTGGTCCAGGGGTCTGTGGCCTAGGATCCTGCCCACGGAGGACTCAGGAGGGATGGGAGAATAACTCCCGACCTCCTGAAGGGGCCCACAGACACTCACCATCCATCCCTAGAGGCGGCGGTTCCGGGTGCTCGAACCGGAAGCGGCCTCTACACTGTTTGCAGTTCCCCTGGTTACTGCGGGGTTCCGGACCAATGGCGATGGAGCGCCCCTCACTGAACCCGCCCCCCAAGCTAGTGACGTCACGCCGGCGCGCTGGAACTCCTCCTCCGAGCTCCAAGTCCGACCCGCCTCCCCGGGCCGCCGATCGTTGTGCGCAGGCTCTTTGGACCGGGGCCCTGGGTGGTGTGGTGCGCAGGCGCCCGGGGCACTGCCAACCGAAGTAGCAATGGACGCGTTGGAGTCGTTGTTGGACGAAGTGTCTCTGGAGGGGCTCGATGGCCTGTGTCTGCCCGCGCTGTGGAGCCGTCTGGAGACGCGAGTGCCGCCCTTCCCGCTGCCTTTGGAGCCCTACACGCAGGAGTTTCTGTGGCGGGCCCTTGCCACGCACCCGGGCATCAGCTTCTATGAGGAGCCTCGGGAGCGACCCGACCTCCAGCTCCAGGACCGGTCAGCGAGCGGCCTGGCCCGGCGGGCGGGCGCAGGGCCCCGGGGCTGAAGGAGCCCAGAGCGGGGCGGGGGAACGCAGTGGAGCCGAGAGGGGACCGCGAGTGTGAATGGGGGAGGGGGTGGCGCGGCGGTAAGGCTGATTTGGGGTCCCTCAGGCCTGGTAGGGCCCAGGAGTCGGGTGGAGTTGGGGTGTTATCTGATATCCCGTCTCGTCCCTGTGTGTGTTTGTTTGGGAGTGGTGGTGAGCAGGACTGGGAGAGTATTCTTCAGGCTTCAAAGAGCATTTCCTTTAACTCGGAGCATAGGATTGGAGCAGGAAGGCTGTTCAGAACCAGACTAGAAACAATTGAAAAGAGCAAACCTTTATGGAGCATTCACTCAGTGCCAGACTGGAGAGGCTAAGGCAGCTGAGATCTGCACATCAGCAAGCTTAGCGATAACACTAATAGTTGACCTTTAAGGGCGCTTTCTAGGGCTAGGTACTATTCTAAGATCCTATTCTAGGAGCGTCAGGAGATTGAACTCATTTAGTTCTCACAGTGACCCTAGGAGGTAGGTGCTGTTATCGTCCCCATTTTACAGAGCAGGAACTGAGTCACAGAGAGAAGTAACCTGTTCAAGGTTATGGGGGTAATAAGCGCCTAAGCATTGGTTTGAACTCCAGGCTGTCTGTCTCCAGAGTCTGTGTCTTCAAGCCATATTGTGAGGGTCAGGGGAGGTTCCCAGAGGTAATAATGTGCGAGACAAAACTGAAAGATTGGATTTAGGCAGCCAGTTGGCAGAGTGCTGTGGACAGAGAACAGCAAGTGTGAAAGGAAGGAGGAGGAGTAAGTTAAGTTTGGCAGAAGTGTGGAATTGGAGGTAGGGAATGAGGAATAATAGTTGACTTTTATATGTGCTTATTATGATCAGGAACTATGCTAAGATCCTTACATATAGCATGTTACTTAATTTTTACAACAACCTTAGGAGGTGGGTCATATTTTCCCCATTTTTCTGAAGAGAAAATCGAGGTGCTGAGGGTTAAATGACTTGCTCAAAGTCATCAACTAGCAAGGGCAGAACCCAGAATTTGAATCCAGGAGATCTAGGTCCAGAATCCACTCTGCTCTTAACCAAATGGACCGGAATCAATGAACGGTTTTTTTTTTTTTTTTGAGACAGAGTCTCACTCTGTTGCCTGGACTCGAGTGCCGTGATGTCAGCCTAACTCACAGCAACCTCAAACTTCTGGGCTCAAGTGATCCTTCTGCCTCAGCCTCCCAAGTTGCTGGAACTATAGGCGTGCGCCACCACGCCCAGCTTATTTTTTTCTATTTTTAGTTGTCCAGCTAATTTCTTTCTACTTTTAGTAAAGACTAGGTCTTGCTCTTGCTGAGGCTGGTCTGGAATTCCTGACCTCAAGCAATCTTCCTATCTTTGCCTCCCAGAGTGCTCGGATTACAGGCGTGAGCCACCATGCCCAGCCTCAGTGAACTTTTAATCCACTTATAGAGTTTATCCTTTATCCAAAGGACAGATGGAAGCCATTGAAGAGAGGGTCAGACTAGGGACAAAGAGAAAGTGGAGAGATTTGCAGTAATCTAGTTTATGAACAAGCAGTCGTGGTCTGTCCTACCATAGGGGGTGTGGGAATGAAGAAAAGATGGAACCAAGACATATTAGGCAGAAGAATCAAGAGGATTTGGAGATTGATCGGATGTGGGTGTAAGGAAGGTAGGAATCATGGATGGTGTCCTGTGGTGGCTGCTGTTTGGGCACCTGAGTGAATCCTGATACCCTTCCCTGAGGCAGGGAACACAGAAGAGCAATAATTGGGGTGGTTGAGTCTGGGGGAGGTGGGGAAGGTGCTGGTTGGACTTTAGACACGTTGAAGTTCTTTCGGGTTGTCCAATTGAAGAGTCTAATTGGTAAACATCTGACTTCACAGAGCAACAGCAGGCCAGAGGGAGGGACTGAGCAAGACTTCTGTGAGTCATCCCATATAGTTGGTAATTAAAGCTGTTGGCTAAGATCAGCCCTAGGAGAGAATGTAGTGATGTAGTGTGATTGGAGGTCTTCAGACATAGCCCTGAGATGCACCTATGTTTCAAGGCTGGGTGAAGGATGAGGAACCTTCAAAAGAAGACTGAGGAGGTGTGGCTGGAGAGATAGGGGACAATCAGGTCAGATGGTGTCCTGGAAGCTGGGAGAAGACATGATTTGAGAACGGAGGGTTAAATAGTGCAGAAGTCACAGAGAAGGCAAGGAAGGAAAGGGTTGAAAAGTGTGTGTGGGATTTAGCCTCAGCTAGCCTAGTGCAGGATATGAGTGAGATTTCGAAGGAAAACTTGGCTAACTAGATAAAAGAAGAAACACAAATCAAAGATATCTCCATGGTGTTGTTAAGAGGCAACTGAGAGAATGTGGTGCCAACTAGGGGAAAGGAGGGACTTGACTGGAGATGGGGAGAGGCAGCCATAGCTTTGGAATGGGAGGTATCTGATAGACAATTGAAGACACTGGACTGGTGTTTGGGGGAAAAAGACAGGACCAAGGATTCAAGGGTGAAAGTTGTTAACATGCAGGTGATAATTAAAACCATAAAAATGGATGTGGGTACTAGAGAGATAAATAGAGAGAGATAGAAAGATTACATCTTAAAGAAGACAAGCCTTGAATCATTCAGTCCAAATTTGTTGGTTTGGAGACTAAGTGCCAGATTTGGAGGAAATCCAAAAGGCCATGACCTGGGCTAGTACGGTGGTTTAGGTCCCAGCTTATGCGGTAGGTTGGGAGATCCTGGAAAGGTCTGTGTTCTCTGGGATGGAAAGACAAGAACCTGCTTGTCCTGCTTATCTGCATTGGTAAGGCAGGAAGACTGTGTGATCTCACTTCTCTCTGATCTTTGCTGGAGGTCGTCAAAAGAACAAAGCCAAGCACGCATTATTTCTGAAGCTGAGTTGGGTTTTGATATATGTGTTTTTCCCCTTAGGTATGAAGAAATTGATTTGGAAACTGGAATTTTGGAGTCCAGGAGGGACCCAGTCCCTTTGGAAGATGTCTACCCCATTCATATGATCTTAGAGAATAAGGATGGCATCCAGGGCTCGTGCCGCTACTTTAAGGAGAGGAAAAACATTACCAATGACATCAGGACCAAGTCTTTGCAGCCTCGCTGTACGATGGTGGAAGCCTTTGACAGGTAACTGATTTGCACCATCACAAATTCAAGTCATATGCGAGTCAGAGCACTTGGATCTGGCCTACAGCCTCCGTGTCTGTTGGAATTCACCAGCCCTGCCCTAAGCCAGTTCTCTGCCTTTTTCACTCCACTCCTATTGGAGTTAAATAAGGTCAGGGGTCCGGCCTTTCTCTTGCTTTTGTGTCCACAGTTGAGCGTGGCAGGCAGCTGACATTTGGATGGTGCCTTTTGTCCTTTCTTCCTAGCTGGGCCCTATGTTCACCAGTTATTCTTCTGTGACTCCTCAGTCAGTGTCCCAAGTTCCCAGAGTGGCTAATCCATATTGTCATTTGTCTCAAGCACCTGACCCCATTCTTGCTTCCCTTCCTATTCATCTCAGAGAAGATGAGAAACGGTGGCCCCATCTAAGGCTATGTTCTGGATGCTTCTCTTTCTCTTCTCCCCTCCCCCCAGCGCGGTTCCCTGTACCTTCTGTTCTTTCTTTTTTTTTTGAGATGAAGTCTTGCTCTGTCACCTAGGCTAGAGTGCTGTGGCATCAGCCTAACTCACAGCAACCTCAGACTCCTGGGCTCAAGCGATCCTTCTTCCTCAGCCTCCCGAGTAGCTGGGACTACAGGCATGCGCGACCATGCCCAGTTAATTTTTTCTATATATGTTTTTAGTTGTCTGGCTAATTTCTTTCTATGTTTAGTAGAGACGGGGTCTCGTTCTTGCTGGTCTCAAACTGCTGACCTCGAGTGATCCTCCTGCCTCAGCCTCCCAGAGTGCTAGGATTACAGGTGTGAGCCACCACGCCCGGCCCATAAGGGACTCTTAAAGCTTTTGCCCCTATGGCTTCCTGCCTTATTTTGTTTTTCTACTTTCCTCATTGTTCCTCACCAGTTTCTTTGTGGCCTCACCTCCTCCTTCTTTCCACCCCTTAAGTGTTGGCTGCTCCACAGACCTCTCTCCCAAACACATATGTATTATTTCAGTAACCCGCCCCTCACACTTAGTGTGCTCATCACTCTCCATCACCCCAAACCTGCCTTCTCTTCCCATCTTAGTCCGTTTTGTGTTGCTGTGATAGAATACCTGAGGCTAGGTAATTTATAAAGAAAGGAGGTTTATTTAGCCCACAGTTCTACAGTCTGGGAAGCTCAAGGGTATGGCACTGGCTTCTGGCAAGGCCTTTGTGCTACCTCATAACATGGCAGAAGGTCAAAGGGAAAGCGGACATGTGCGAAGGGGTGTCCTTGCTTTATAACAACTCCATCTCCCGGGAACTAATCTATTCCCGCCAGAGCAAGAACTCAGTCCTGCCAGAGGGCATTAA